CTTTCAGATATAGAACACTTATCCAAGTCAAAGTAGTGAAGAACTCCTCCAAAATCGCCCAAGAACCGAGCTCCAAAGTCCAAAACGAAAATGACGAAATGACAAATTTTTAATCCTAAATGTTCGGTCCAGTTTTGCACCTGCGGACAGATTTGCACGCCTGCGAGCTTGCTTATGCGAGAAAAATCTCGCACCTGCGCCATTTCTTCTGCTCTTGCGCAATCGCAGGTGCAAGCCTCATATGCGTATCTATGATGCCAGCCGCTTCTGTGCCCCATATTTCTGCACCTGCGGAGCCTCTCCAGCTAGCCTTCCCAGGTCGCTTCTGCTATGATTTCCACGCTTCCGCGAGTATGCACTTGTGGTCCTTCATCCGCAGATGCGAAGGCACCAGCAACCAGAATTTCCTGCATTCCCTTGAGTCCAACATCCGATTCGTTAACCACCCGGAATCCACCCGAGGCCCTCGGGACCTTAACCAAATATACCAACATGTTCCAAAATAAGATAGAACTTAGTTGAGGCCTCAAACAACATTAAAGAACATCGAAATTATGAACCGCACCTCAAATCGGACTATGAGTTTTCAAATTATCTAGCTTCTATAATTTGTGCCAAAACGTATAAAATCAATACGGAATGACTTTAAATTTTGCACACAAGTCATAAATGACGTAATGGAGCGGTTCCAGTTTCCAGAGTCAAAATCTGACCCCGATATCAATAATGTCAACTCCTGGTCAAACTTTCCAAAAATCTTCTATTTTCCAACTTTTGCCAAAATGCGCTAAATTGTCCTACGGACTTCATCCAAATTCGAACATATGTTGTAAAGACCCGACCGGTTGTTTTGAGCATATGCATTCCATTCAGCTTTTTAAAGTCTTGAGCAGGATCGTATGATGTATTATGACTTGTTTAAATTGTCGGTTTTGGTTTTCAGGTTATTCAGAATTGATTTGGAAGAATGAGTTTCAAGATTGAAGCTTTAGAGTTGAATGAGTTGGCCAAGTTTGACTTTTTAGTATTTGACCTCGGATTGGAGTTTTGATGGTTCAGTTAGGTCCGGATGGTGATATCGGACTCGGGCGTATGCGCGAATTCACATTTGGATATTTCAAAAAGGTTTCGAATTGGCTAAAAGTTAGAAATTTAAAGGTTTAGAAAGATCATAAGTTTGACCGAGAGTTGACTTTGAGCATATCGGGTTTGAATTGTTGCTTTGGGGATTGAAATAGCTTCGTTATGTCATTTGGGACTTGTGTACAAAATTTGAATTTATTCCGAGTTGATTTGATATATTTCAGCGTGAGTTTTGGAAGTTGAAAGTTCAAAAGTTCATAATGTTTGATTTGAGGTGTGATTCGCCGTTTCGACGTTGTTACGCGTGATTTGAGGCATCGAGTAAGTCCATGTTATGTTATGGGACTTGCTGGTATGTTCGGGCGGGGTCCCGAAGGGCTTGGGTGAGTGTCGGATAAGTTTGGGCTGTATTGCACTCGTTTTTTATGTTTCGATGTCGTTTCTTCAAGCATAAATGGTACCACATTAAGCAAATGAGCTCCAATTTCTATTTTCATTGAATCATTAGATTCGTATCATAATTTTGGAACTATAGCAACTGGAATCATCAAGTTTTGACATTGTATGAGGAATTTATGGTCATTTCACTAAGAATTGGGTTGCGAGATTGTTTCAACGTAATTGCGAAATTGCCACTGAATTCGTATTTAAAAATCTGCACTATTTCTAAATATTGAAACCAACACATCTACTTCATTATAAGGTCAAACAGAGCGATTCAAAAGCCTATCTTGACGGGAATTTCACAAGGAATCCATTGGAGGTATCAAAAGCGAGTTTCAGGATCGTTTGGCACAGGAAACGTGGCAGAGGAGCTTGGTAAAAATATTTAATATCGAGGGTCTGTTCATCTGGTCATATTTTGAGTTGGGGAGCTCGGAATTGGGCATTTTTTAAGCTATTTTCACCATATGAATTGGGGTAAGTATTCTCTACTCAGTTTTGGTTACATTTCGTGAGTCTATCTTCATTTTTGTTAATTGGATTGTGAATTTTAAAGAGAAATTAGGTGTTTTCGCCTAAAGTTTCATAAAGTGAATTTTTGAGTTTTGAACGTCGATTCGGAGTCGGATTTGAGTGAAACTAGTATGGTTGGACCCGTAATTGAATGGGTTGTCAAATTTTGTGAGATTCATCGGGTTCCGAGGTGCGGGCCCAAGTTTGATTTTTTGGTTGATTTTGGGCTTTTGAGTAAATATTCGACCTATATCAATTGGAATTATTTCCTTAGGCATTATTTGATGTTATTGAGTTGCTTTTGGCTAGTTTCGAGCTGTTCAGAGGTCGGTACGTGCGGGATGACATTTTTGGAGTATCGTTTGGCTTGATTGGTATTGATACGGCTTGTTCCAGGTAAGTAACACTTCTAAAATTGGTGATGAGGGTATGAAATCCCGAATTACATGTTATGTGATTGATGTTGAGGTGACCCACATGCTAGGTGACGGGTATGAGGGCATGCACCGTAGTAACAGTGATTTAGTCGATTCAATGAAACTGTGTAGCTATCTTATCTGAACATGTTATTGTACTCTATGTGTTAGAGCACTTGAGTTGCGATCCATGTTAGAAATCATGTCTAGGCTACATGCTTATGCTGTTGGGACCCACTGAGGTCATTTCTGTTGTTGAGTTATCTACTTACATAGCAATTACATACTCAGTCATACCATTCATATGCATATCATATCTAACTCTCTGTTACCATTTAATGATACATCATATAATTATTTTTGGGCTTATTTCATGATATTGCGAGCCAGAGGGACTGGAGAGATTGATGACTGAGTGAGGCCGAGGGCCTGATTGTGAGGATATTGATTAATGATGGGAGCGGGCTACACGCTGTTGCAGATGTTATTGATTTACGCCATGATTGGCTTATTATAGCGCTTGGGCTGAAGGATACCCTCCGAAGTCTGTACACACCCCCAGTGAGCGCAGGTACCTACTGAGTGCGAGTGCCGAGAGCGAGTGCCGAGTGATTGGGAGGACTGAGTGACTGTGGGGACTGAGTGACTGTGAGGATTGAGTGATTGGGAGGATTGAGTGAATTGATACTCTTAGAGTATGCATATGGTTTTATCACTGAGTTGTATTGCATTCGACATATGCATTGACATATAGGCATAGAGATGTATTTTCCTCATGCCATTTAAAATAAAATATTTACCTGTTGAACGCTTTTGGGAGAAATCACAGTTTTACAAACCTACTCATATTTTGGTGAATTCGGTAAAAGAATAGGGTTTTCACTGATATACTTGAAAAGCATGCCTATTTTTCTGGAACTGTGAACGCGTTGAGCATCTTATATCTGAGTATTTTTTTTGTACCATTATTACTATTATTATTTTGTTACGAACTATTGTTGGCTAGTAGTGTTGGACTCCGACCTTTGTTCCAGCTCGTCATTACTTTCAACCTAAGGTTAGGTTTGTTACTTACTGAGTACATGGGGTCGGTTGTACTCATACTACACTTCTGCACCTTGCGTGCAGATTTGGATGCTGACGTTGTTGCGTATGACGGGAGCTAGCATTGAAGACGTACCTGCGTTCTGGTTATAGCTGCCTCTTGTTCATGGTAGCTCTAGAATTTTGAAAAATCTGTTTATGTATAATTCAGGCAGATGATGTATTTATTTTACACTAGCTTTGTAAACTCTAAATCTTAGAAACTCACGATTTGTACTACCAATCCTTGGAAAATTCTTTGTATAAAAGCAGTTGTATTATCATTCTTTTCTTAATAATTTTTATTAAATTGGATAGTTGTTAGTTAGCTTACCTAGCAGGCCTGGTTGGGTTAAGTGCCATAACAATAGTTGGATTTTGGGTTGTAACATACGCCTAAGTCTAAAATCACCATACGATCATTTAAATTCCATTCCGGAATTGTTTACTCAAAAGTCAAACTCTGGTCAACTCTTTTTGTTTAAGCTTCAAAAATAAAAATTGTTCTTTCAATTTAATCGCCGCTAAAAATGCTTCTTGAAGTCCCCTTTAGTATTGGTGACCAACCTTCAGTGATGAGGAACTAATATTTCTTCTTGAAGCATAAAAAATTAAAATAAATTTAATTATGTTATTTTTCTTAAAGAAAATCACACTCTATAATAACCAATTAAGTATGCTATTACATAAAAATAATATTTATTTATCCTTTCGTATAACGAGATCAACAATCAAATAAGCAGCTGAATGAAAAAAATACTATTTAAATCATGGTCCTCAATTCATAGAGCTCATGCAACAAATTCCAAAGAGATATTCTTGTTATTACAATTTAAACTTAGAATTCACACTTCATCCCATGTACTCAAAGGACAAAACTGATAGTAAATGCAATATGAAATATTTGCAGTAAAAAAAAAATAAATAAATAAAATTCCGTTACAGTGAAAGCATCAAATATGTCTCTTTCCATAATGTTTATTCCACCGCCATCTTCCCATAACATGATAGTAATACCAATTCTATAAAACTATTTTAGAAAATAGCAAATGAAGAGGTCAAACCAATTATGAAATTGTTCATATACAATATATATATATAT